AAACTCTTAAAAGAAAATTTATTACTGAAGGAACGAGCAAGACTAGGTACCTCAGGAAGGCAACAGAGCAAAGGAGAGATTTTCAGTTTACTGTAGACTTCCGTTTGTAGCTGAAGAGGATGGATCAGAGAAGCATTAAAATAAATGAGAGAGCGAAATTGTAGCAGCAGTATCAAATGACAGCGAAAGAATAATCTAGAACAGAGCTGAAGGGTTCGTCTTGGCAAGGGGGAGGGCGAAGATGGCTAAGGGTCCAGCCATTCTCAGGTACAGGAAAAATTACGGGGAACTTGTGTCAGGTGACCTTGACTGCAATAGAAATGGAGTTCAATTCATCTGTTCATTCATTCTTTCAAAGATAATAAGGTGCCTCTGATGTGTTAGGCAGTGTTCTAGGCCCCAGGGATACAGCAATGAACGAGACAAAAATCCCTGCCCTTGTGTAGCTTACCTTCTCGTGGGAAGGCAGACAGTACACATATGAGCAAAATATGAACCTTAATGGTGATAAGTGCAGAAAAATATAAAGTAGGAAAGGAGGGTAGAGGGAGTGTTAAGGATTGCAATTTCAAATGGAAATGGTAGGGAAAGACTTCATTGAGAACGTGATTGTGTGTGTGTGTGTGTGTGTGTGTGTGTGTGTGTGTGTGTGTGGGAGAGAGAGAGAGAGAGAGAGAGAGAGAGAGAGGGAGAATTGATGACAGGGTTCCTCTGTAGTGACAGAAGGAAACTAACCAAAGAACCAGCATTTTCCCTCTGGAAATTAAATGACATCCTTGTATATCCTCTTCACACTGGTTTGTTAGATACTGATCATGAATCAGTTTGTATTTATGTTAATCAAATTTCCATTTTTATAAAGACCATCCATCAGTTAGGTAGACAGCAGATGGGGAAGAGTCTTATTATATCCTTTAGCTACACTCAATGTTGATAATGATGGTTCATAGCCCATTTCCCAAGATCTATGCCCCTCCGCCCCAAAAAGTCATAAAACCTGGATGTTGATACGGTTTTGGGCCTGGTTATGGTGACTGATGGCTCCTATAGAAAGGCAGGGAAACACACACAAGGGGGAACAGAATTCCAAGAGATCAGTATCCATCCATCCTTCATTCCCCTAAGCCTGAGGACGAAGAATCTGCGTTAGACGGAAAAGAATCTAAAATTCAGCTAATGATGCCAGAGAAGAGGTTCGGGTTCTGAAATGTTACCTGAGTTTGTGTACACAAATCGTTTGGTCATGAACATCAGTCCTTAACGAGTGTTTTACCAGTTCTAACGGGCAGCACTTATGATAAGAGACCAGAAGGGTTTCCCCAGGTAAGCGAAAAGCCCGTGGTCCGCAGGACATCTGTGATTCCTTTCTCCGCTCTTGGATTCTTCATGTCCCGGGAAGTCTCTCCACCTTAGGCCCCGTAAGTACTCAACGGGAATCGGATTTTCGACCATTCACATGTGAGGCCTTCGACCTCATGGTGATTCTCTTCGTACAGACAGAAACCAGGGAGCCACTTAGGGTGGGATGAAAACACTGGTTTTTAATAATAACCACAGTAGCTACTCCCTTAAACATTATCAGAGCTAATCCTCATACTATCTACGGGATACTCTTTCCTCCGCTTTATAAATAAGGTAAGGAGGCTCCGAGAATATTAAGTAGAAGTAAAAATCTGACCCACTTCAATGTGAATCTCAAGTTCATTCTTTGAAACGCTGCCGTCAGCGTCGAGCTGACTTCTCAAAAAGCAGGAGCACAAACCCAAAGCCCCGGGTGCCCTTCTGACGAGAATTTACAGGTAAGCCAGGGTTCTCCACCGTTTTGGACACACGATGCCTTACATAGTCTTAAGTTAGTGAGGATCCCGAAGAGCTTTTGTTTATGTGGGTCCTATCTAGCACACTTACCAAATTAGAATTAAAACTTGGAAAAAAAATTTTAAGTTTATGTCAAAATAATAAACCCAGTATATTAACATACGTAGATTTTTAATGAAAAAAAAAATCTTTTTCTCTTTGCATGTCTCTTTAATGTCTGCCTTAATAGAACATAGTTGGAATTTCACATCTGCTCTATATTCATTGTCACCACATCACACATCAGGCAGCCTCTAGAAAATTCCCCTGTATGCTCATGAGATAAAAAGGTAAACGTCTTCTATTCATTTCCCAGGGCTGCTTTAAGAAACCTGAGTTAGTTTATGACAATAAAAGTATACCACAAACCAGGGGGCTTAAGACAACAAATATTTATTCTCTCACAGTTCAGGACCAGAGGTCTGAAATCAAGGTGTCCGCAGGGCTGGCTCCTTCTGCGGACCGAGGGGGAATTTGTTCTGCGTCTCCCCCAATGTCCGAGGTTGCCGGCAGCCCTCAGGGCCCGTGGCTGACGGCCGCGTCCCTCCTGTCCCCCGGTCTCGGGTGGCCTCTCTCTGTGTCTCTGTGGCTGTCCTTGTAGGAAAACTCCTCCCTTGGATATAGGGCCTACCCTAGTCCTGAGTGACTTCATCTTACTTAACTTGATTACATCTGTAAAAACCCTAATTACGAATTAGGTCACATCCACAGGTTCCGGCAGACGTGGCTTTATAGAGTTATACCCAGTACCATATACCCACTGGTTCCCCCAAACTCACACCCATCCCGTGTGCAAAACACATTCACCCCATCCCAGCATTCCTGTCTTCACCCATTCCAGCATGAATGCCACATCCCAGATCTTGTCTAAGCAGCATTGACGCAAACCTTTCATATCTCATCATCTCAGTCAGGAATGGGAGGCGCTGGTATGACCCATCCTGGTTCCCTCTCCATCTGCGGCCTGTGATACTAGAAAACGTGTTCCGCTTGTCAAAGACCAGCACAGGACAGACAGTCCCCTTCCTAAAGAAAGAAACGCATGGGATAAAGACGTCACTGGTCTAAAGCAAGTTTGCAACCCAGGTGGGCAATGTCATGAGGTTGAAGGCCTGAGAATAACCAGGTGGCTTGATCTGCCTGGGAACGGCAGCTTCACCAGCCCCAGCCACGAGCCCCTCAGAGGCCCTGTGGGTCCCACCCCTCCGTCCTCAGCCTCGGGGACAGTCTTACTCTCTGGGCAGCCCATTCCTTATTTACAGACTCGGGCAGCCTTCCTTCATTTGGTCCTGTTTCCGTCCCCATCAGGCTCCGCGGGCAGTGTTTCTGCTGATACAAGTTCCCCCCAAACCTGTCAGAGGTCTTCCATGGATGTCCAGGAGATGCAGGCCATCAGACAGGAAGCGTCTCCACAGTTCCTTCCTGGATAAGCGCATCTCTATTCCTGGCTTCTGCCGAAATGGTTGATCATGTCTATGGTCACAAACCTAATCTCCCCAGCAGGCATTCCAGCCATGCAGTGATCTCTCTACAAACCCAAAGATGCCTTAGCACCTTTTGCAACATGGATAGGCTGTGCATTTTCCAAATTGTGTCCTGGTTCCTTTTTGTTGACCAGTTCCTTCCTCAATTTCTCCATTTCCTCTTGCATGTTACTCTAAGCAGCAAGACACCAGACCACATCTTCCATATTTTGCTTGGAAAGCTCAGCTAAATACTCAAGTTCACTGTTTACAAGTTTCACCCAAAAAAAGGGCAAACAATTCAGCCAAGTTTTCAGCCACTTTATAACAGGATCAATTCTCCTCCAAGATCCAGTCCCATGTTCATCATTTCTGTCTGAGGTCTCACCAGAAGCACCTTGAAACGTTCATGTTTCTATCAACACTCTGTTCATAACGATATAGAAATTCTCTAAGATGATAGAAGCTTTCTCTACTGTCCCCATTGTTTTCTTCTGAGCTTTCACCAAAATTGCTTTCGATGTCCACTTTTCTAATAGTCTCGACAAGGTCATCTAGAATTACACTATCATGCAGCTCAAAATTCCAGCTTTTACCCATTACCAAATTCCAGAGCCACTTCCACATTTTTAGGTATTTCTTACAGCAGCACCATGTTTCCTGGATCAAAATGCTGGTTTCTGGGGCTGCCATAACAAATGACCACAAAATGGGTGTCTTAACACGAAAGATAGTTCTCTTCTTGCAGTTCAGGAGGCCAGTGGTCTGGAACCATGGTGTTAGAGGGCTGGTTCTTTCTGGAGGCTGAGAATTGATTCCAGGTGTCTCTCCTGGCCTCTGGTGGCAGCCGGATTCCCTGGTGCTCCTTGGCTTGTAGCTACATCGCTCCAATCCCAGGTTCTGCCTTGGTTGTCACATGGCCTCCTTCACCGTGTCCTCAAATGGCATTGTGACAAGGGCAACAGTCGTTGGATTTAGGGTCCACCCTAGTCTATTATGGCCTCACCGTGGCTGTTGTCTGGAGACCGCCCTCAGTTACTTGCCACGTGGGCCTCTCCTTGGGGAATCTCTCAACATGGCAGCTGGATGCATGAGAGCAAGCAAGGAGAGCCTGGGAGTGTGAGCGTGGCAGAATGCACGGCGTTTCAGCCTGCCCTTGGGGAGACATCTCAGTACGTTTGCTGTATTCTGTTCTTTAGAAGCCAGTTGCTGGGTCCAGCCCACATTCCAGGGGCAGGGACTACACAGGGGCAGCCAGAGCTGGGCGCTGCCGAGGGGCCGGCCAGGGACTGCTGGGCCAGGCGCGCCCTGTGCTAAAACACATCAGAGCTGCGGGGACCCCACAACACCCCAGTTAAATAAAGTGACAGGGCTGAAGATACAAGGGGATGCTGCCCTTGGGAACCTGGGTCTCCTCTCAAAACTCAGGATCTTCCATTGTGAGGGAAGGGGATGAACTGTGGACAGCGTGTGGGTCAGCTGGACTTCCTAAGCTCCTGCCTGGCCTGGCCGGGGAAGCTGCTCTGAGCAGGCCCACTGACTGCAGCTGACAGGCAAGGGGCACCCAGGATACAGTCCTATGCCCAGCAACAGACACTGCTGCCTCCTTGGTCACTGTCCTACACCTTCCGATATATTCACTCGATTTCTTTGGGATGAGATACGACTTAGGACACTTGCTACTGAGAAACAATTTAATATCAAGTACGCGAAGCATTTAATTTCCAGCCAAGGAATCTCAAAATTGTTAAGCATGTCTTCTTTACATGGACATGGACACACACACACACACATACTTTTAAATAAGCTTAGATGTAATCCTTGTAATAAACTACTCGTGAGGCTTTTCTCGATGACATTACACAATAAGCTGTTATTCGGTTACTGTGAATTTGACACCAGCTCTACCGCTGCTTAGTTAGAAGTCCTTTGAAAGAAAACGTAGCAAAAGGCAGCACATTTCAGTTCTAAGCCAATGTTAAAATTAGCTTCTCCCTCTTTTTCCTCTTCCTCTTCTTCTCTTCCAAATGGCTGGTAGCGTCAGCAAAAAACATAACTTCACTTCTTGCCTCACATTCCCTCTTGAGGTAATCGAGACCTGCCATATTGAAGCCAATAACATCCTGGGGAGGAATACAAGCAAGATTAAAGAAACTTTCTGTCTCTTCAGCTCAGTGTCGCAGCTCCGTGTGGGAGTCAGGAGCAGCAGCGCCTCAGGTGTTATTAATACTACTCGTTCCTCCCTGTCTGCGCTCTGTCTTTGTCTTCCGGTTCCCCCGAGTTCCAGCGAAACCTTCCCTAACATATACAGACGTCTGTCCGATCCATGCCGCCCAAGACAAGGCACAGCACCCTGGGCTGCTCCTAAGCCTCGTTCACCCTGGGATTTCTCCTTTGCTGCTGTATGTCCTGCAAGACACTTACCCGGACTTGGCTGACTTTCGAAATAGTGGTTTCCTTTAATTTTTCAATCACTGGCACGAGCATCTGGTTGCTAGTGATCTGCCCAAAGTGAATCCTCAGAAAAACAAAACAGAGTCGTGTTACAAAGGAGTAAGGGTCTGGCTCTACTTATCCTTCCAGAAATAGCAAACTGACAAAACATAAAGCAAAAAATAGTAATAATAAAAAGGTTTTACTGTATCATAGGAGTACAGAAATGTTTCTAGGAAAAAAACCGAAAGTTTCTTCCCTACTATTCAGTTCCAGCTGATGACAATTTTAAAACACTGTCCTAAACCTTAGCTTATCACATGTTCAAACTCAGACCTAGAGTGCCAGGACACCCTTGATGAATCCACGCTCCTTCGGCCTCCGTGTCACCTTCACTCTTGGCTGTGACCTGCCATATCCACCTGTGAGGTAGTACCCACCTACACCCCTGATATGCTAGAAATACTCACGGTATTTCTCTTAGAATCAGTACTCCTGATGCAACAGCACATCTGCCACAGCAGTAAGAAATTATTAGTAATACTGTTGACTATGAGTTTATGTCATCACAACTTGCCCCCAATTCTAAATATGGCAGAATAATATACACATCATTTCCGATGATATAAAATATGAACATATCAATTGTTCCTCTTTTGCTACTATCCTGATAGAATAAAAGGAATGGAGGGTTAAGAATCATGAAAACAATTCACTGAATATGCTTGTTTTGTTAAAACCCTTTGGTATTGGCTGACCAGTTTTTATTTTGTCCTCATATACTCAGTTTGTCTCTATTCCCGGTTTCCGCTGTAACAGCTCAGGCTGAGGGCAGAGCGAGGGAGAGAAGAAGAATCTATTCTTAAGCCTTTGTAAATATATTCTTCTCAATTACATATTAACAAGACGTCTTTTTTTTTTTTAGCTGAGCCATCTTGCCACCTGCTGGCAGCTCAGCTCAGGCCGGGAATCTAACTGGAGATCCTGTTGCTCAGAGCTCGCACTCTTGAGCAAGCTCTTAACCAACTAGCCACTCGGCCGGCCCTGACGAGAAGTCTTGATGCTTAAGAACATCATCTGATATTTTCTTCATGTTTCTTAGTTCCCTGTCTATACGCCTCTACTTTTACATTTGTACCTGTAGAGACCTGGAAAATAAAGTGCCAATTCCTTAAAATGCTGTTATGAGGACAAAACCAAACCACTAGCTTAACCTAAACAGTTAAAACGCAACACCAAATGAGTCACGTTGGCATTCAGTGACGGCTGTCGGCAGACTGACTAGACCCAGAGCGTCCGTGTCGGCGCAGCCTGGAGGCCTGGGGAGTCGGCGTTCCTGAGCAACCTTATCTCGCATCACAGGATCACAGGATCACATTACGTAAAGACGCATCGCAATCCTTGTTTTAAGGATAAGACTGATTCCAAAGGATGAGAAATAATTATGTCAGCCTGCACTGAAATTCTGTAACCGTCTGCAAAACTGCAGCTCAGGTTTTTTAATTCCAAAGCGTTGGCAGCTTTGGTGGAGGCAGTCCTGGACCACTTATGTGGAGTAGACGCAGTGTTTTTGGAAAAGGGCGTTACCTGAGGAGAAAGAAGAGGCATCTACACAGAAGTTCAGTATCAGAGCCCCGCTGGATGAACTCATTGAAGAGTGTGAGAATGTCTGGGACGTAAGAGAAAGGTAACACAAGGAGCGATTCCTCCAGCTCACTGAAGAAGAAAACATAAATGTTAAAAATGCCACATTTCTTAACATGGTCAAATTAAAAATAATTGCAACAACTGCAATTACTTTTGCACCAACCCAATCTTTTCCTCTACTATTTTTTCTACTACTTTTATTCTTCAATAGCTCTTACATAATCAGAATTAAATATTCACCTATATTCTAGATCAGGGGTCGGCAAACTGTGGCTCATGAGCCACATGCAGCTCTTTGGGTACATTCCGTCTTAAAAGTTTGCCAACCCCTGGAAGAGCTAATCCTGTCCCTCACAACAATTTAAAAATATATTTTTACATATTCACCATTATGTGAATAAGAACCTTTAAAAATTTTATAAATGATACTATGATAGTTTTGTTTTATTTTCAATTTTACTTCAGATGCTTGCAAGCCGCAGTTTGCTGACCCCGGCGGCTCTTCCGTCTCAAAAGTTTGCCGACCCCTGTTGTAGATGGTTCTTTCTTTTCAATGTTTTGGTTTTTTTATATTTTAATCTAGCGAACGCATTTTGGTCCATGGCATCGTGTTCTTTCAGATACCCAGTTTCTCCAAAGCCTTTTGTTGACTATTCCATCTATATATGATACTTCTTTTATCATTTATGGAGTCCTTACATAGTTCAGTCAATTTCAGGGCTTCTGAGTCTGTTTTGAATGATTGATTGATTCTGACAACAATCCTGCAGTATTTTAATGTTGCTAATTTTATAGTTTTTTAAATCTATACTAGCTCCCTCTTGTTATTCTGGTTTGGGTTTGTTTTACTTTTCTTGAACTAGCTCTAGTATCATTTCGTCACTCCCAATTAGAAATCTCAAGAGGATTTCAATTGGAAACAAACCTGTAAATTAGTTTAAGAAAAGCTAAATGTTTTAAAACACAGCATCTTCCCATCTAGGAATGCACTGTACCTCCATGAATCTAAATTTTCTTCTGCATTTCTCTAGTGAGGTTTCATCATTACCCTCAGACAGGTCCTGTTTATTGTATAGGATATATATTTAGATACTATGATTTGTTATGAAAGGCGATAACGTTCAGGAGGTCAAACTCACAAATAAAATCAAAAGGTATATCACAATCAAGAAACATTATTTCAAAAGTATAAGACAAAAGATACCAGTAAGAGAAACTACTAAAAAGGACACGAAAGGGAAAGTAACAAAAAAATTCACGGAAAAAAATACAAAGGGCTAACAACTATGATAAAATTTTAACTCTGTTAATAATCAAAAGAAATAAAAAATACTACAACTTTTTGCCTCTCAAACTGGCAAGAATTGTTTAAAGCCTGGTAAAAACCAGTACGAGCACTCTGGAAAGCAATTCAGCAATATAAACCTTTAAAAAGTTCGTGCCCATTGATCTGTAATCAGACTGCAAGATCTTAACGGAAAATGATTAACGATGACAAAGATTTCATGTAAAGGTAGTCACTGCAGCCATATTGACAGCAGCAAAAACAAACGCAATATCCAATGGTAATCATTTGTTCAATGGAATATTTTGAATCAGTTCAATGACGTGTTTTTGAAGAATATTAATAACATGAGCAAAAATTCAGGAAATATTCTGTGAAAAAGGACAGGCTACAAAATAGTATACAGTATGATTCCAATTGTGTCTGTACACAGAAAATAAGCCAGAGAAAATAAACAACAAAAATGTTACCAGTTGGTACTTCCGACTAATTATAGATGATTTCATTGCCTATAATGCAAAGTAGCATTACCCTGCCTTTGTGCTTTGAAGTATCTCCCTTCATATTTCAGGAGGAGCCTCCTAGTTCTACTTCAAAAAGAGCATTATAAGGAATTCTTTTCCATCAAATTTTGACATAGTTAAACCTAGAAGGATGGTAACCATCAGTCATGTTTTCTATTTATCTCCTGTTCAGATAGGCATTTGATAAATGTTGTTAGCTGACAAATTGTAATAATTGTGCCCCGGGACTCACCTTGACTTGATTCCTTTAAAAATCTCCAACACATAAGCTGAAGGCTATAAAGGAAGGATGACAGCATTAGTGATACCCTTGACTAGTTCCTACTGAAGCCAATTTCCGTCTCCGAAAACCCACGATGCCTCTCTCTCCTATGCAATATGGATGCACCATCCTAAAATGGTGCGACACGCATGGACTTTCAGTCGTCCCGTTTGGGCCCACACCCCAGCTCTGCCATTCTGCAGCTGTTACCTTCTACCTAAACATCCTGACTTACCTGTAAAAGGAAGATTCCCCAACTCACACGATTACTGTGGCCAGTAAGACAGGTGTGGTACTAAGCGATCAGAGATTGCTAGGCAAGCACCCATTCTCCCATCACACCCTCTCTCTCCTTTTTTACCTGACTGATTTATGTCAACGTTTCCTCCCAAACCTTCAATTTCAAAGTTCACTGAGATGAACGGAATCTTCAGAGGGCTTGGGATACTGACCATAAATGCACACTAGGAAATAGAAGGATGCCAGGCCAGCCCAACAAAAAAGGATGACTTGGGAATTACACTGAAATAGTCGTTTGAAATACAAAATACCCTAGAGCACACCACCATTCAGGAGAGATTTTTAACAACCAAGTAATTCCAGTACATCCACCTGGAAGCAGAGGCCTCTTCACCTCCTCTTACCCGAGAGTAACCTGTGAATAACCAAAGGAAGTCGGGGAGACATTCTACTCACAGAGATATTGCCGTAAGCCATCAGGATGGGGTTGGTGGGAAGGGGAACCTATGAAGAAACGATTAAATCAAGTCATTATAAAAAAACCCGAGACTTTGATAGTGCTAGTCACAGGCCGGCTGGTAACAGTATTTTACATTTTGAAAGGGAAAAGAGTGACCCTAAAAACTGTAAAAGTAGAAAAGAATGATCAGGCCTTTTGGTTTCCATAGCACTTACGAATCAGTTTGGAAACGGTTACCATGCCTCCCCAACCAAACTAGGAGCTTGAGTTTCTATTCACTCTCATCACCTCGGTCCCGTTTCTGCCCATCCCTTTTTATTAAGACCACGCTTCCTTTCTCCAGTTCCTCAATTCCTTCTAATGTTTGAGTCAGAAAAAACTCTATGACATTTATTTCGTTTGCTGATCTGAGTTAATAATAAATCCTGAAATGATGGTTTTCTTCTCAGGAACTGTCTCTATTTAAAGGGGCTCGCAGAGTGTCACTTAATGGGCTATCTTACCTCTTTCCCTGCAGCTTTACAAATGGCTCTGTGTTCTTTCATTTTTGCAGTTTCCTCTCGGTAGAGCTCAATAGCCTCCATGATCCTCTCGGCCTACAGAGATGACGACAAAGGACAGAAGTCACCACAACACACCCCATCATCCCAGAACACTGCGACTGAAGGCCCGATTCGAAAATTACCAAATCGCTTGACTCATTTTAATAAAGATGTGCCGATACAGTGCCAAACACCATTTAGAGACATCTTTGGTTTTTCTTTTTTCTCTTCTTTCTAATTTACAGGGAGGGGACGACGTGTTCTGGATTCAGGTAAGAACGTCTGTGGACACTTGAGCAGGGCAGCTCCCAGGAACGTCTGGAAGGTGCTGCTTTCAGGGGATCCAGCTTTCCTTTCTAGAAACCATGCACTGATCAAACAGATCGGCACCTCTGTCCTTGGTTTCAAGGAAGGAAAACAGGTTTGGATCTCCATCCATCAATTTAATGAACTTTTTGCCACAAAAGGACTGTGGGTTGATAGACTTTTAGGTCCTATTTAAAAAAAAAAAATGAGATACTATATTCTGTATCAACTTACTGCTTTGACTGTTTCAATTGTTTTCTTTCCAGTAAAGTAATTTTCACCTTGAGTCTCTCCCGGAACCTGCCAGAAACAAAGAGCTCCTTGAACAATATTGCTGACAAGCATTAAAGGGCCACTGCATTCATCTTCTATTCATAAAAGAACAGGCATTATTATTTTAGGATCACGACAACACTGTGTTATCAGCTAGCCCATTAACTGAGTACTTAGTAAGTGCCAGACATTATGCTAAGTAGTTTGTACTTATTATAAGAATATCCTGCTCTATACATGTTTAAAGATAATGCCCAATTTCTCATTTTTTTTCCTGATTTTTATTTTTGTTCTACAGTGAAATAATTCCCTGTAGCCTTCTTCCTTTAAAAAAAAAAAAAAAGCCAGAATGACAATCATTCAATACCAAATCTGGTCAATTATTTGTCCCACAAAATCAGGATACATATATAGCTGAATAAAAAGGACTACGCAGATTCTTTCCTCTGTCAGCTGGTGATGACTTCAGCGTCTGGCCCCAATTCGAATGCCATCAGAAATTCTTCAGATTAGAGTCAATTCCAGTAAGATAATGACAGGGCACAATCTCAGGCTCCCAAAAGATTTACTTACTGCCGGTTGGTCTTCTTTGGCCACATTCTCCTCATACTCCGCTTCCCTTTGCTGCCAAGAGAAAGACAGACATTAATCCGAAAGGAAAAACATGGCCTCTGTGCGCAGTGATATGAGACAGTGAGAAGCTGCTTCTCTCCAAATGCAACCCCCTAATGGCATCTGCCTCTGCCTGGCGGCTGAAATGGTTCCAGCGGGCTTGGGAACATCTCCTGGAGGGCCTGGAATCTGCACTGACTGAGGTGGGACTGCACTAAAAAGAAAACTTCAGCTGGGACGGCATGTCTGATACCCCCCGGCATATCTGTAACCAAGGCTGGAGTCCTTACCATCTCCCTTTCTTCCTCAAGAATAAGAGGCTCCCTTGTTCTCTCCCAAAGTCTCAGAGATTTGTCATGGGACGATGACACCACGTAGTCTCCATTGGGGCTGACAGCCAAGCACCATATTTCCTGGTGGTGTCCCTGGAGAGAGAGAACCAACCAAAACCTATTCACAGACTGCTACCTGCTACGTTAGCGGGAGACCAACACTCAGTGTGCAATTGAGTGGAGCAGACAGAGCAGGAAGAGGTTACCTCCAGAGTTTGTATCTGTTCAAATTTGTCCGCATCCCACTGCTTAATCTTCCGGTCCTTCCCAGCAGTGAAGAAGAGGTGAGACTTGGGCACAAACTGTAGGTACATCACACTGAAAAATGAGAGAAGCATGCAAATGTCATCAAGTGACACGTTATTACAAAGCCTTACACGTAGATAGCTTTGAATCGCTAGTTCTGGAGTGTCTTTATAGTGGAGAGTTGTAAATGGATGACTGTCTGAGAACGCTATACAACAGACACAGATGCTCAAGGAAAATGGTACCTACAGGTGACCCAAACGGGGGTCCTTGAATAGACTACTGCACCTACCTGTCGTCGTGTGCGAAGAGGGACTTGTGGCAGTCCCCAAAGTCCAGACCCCAGATTTTCACATTCCTGTCAGCAGAGCCCGTTGCTATGAGTGCTCCGTCCTACAAGGGAGAGAAGTCAAACGCCGCTCAATTTTTCTGAAACTCTGTAAATTAGATAAAGAAAAGCTAACCAGAACCTTCAGCCCAGTTATCTCAAAACCAGTAAAATCAAAGCCAAAAAAGTAACGTCAACTCTCTACCAAGAGCACCTACTTCTTTGCTTTTACCTACAGATCGACCCAAAAGCTTGTTAAGTGAAAGCTAGCACTCTGAGGCTTAACTGTTCTTGTCCTGCTACAGGGCAAGCTGTGCCCTGACGGAGGTGATCTACTTACTGTGTTACACAGACAGGAAAAAGAATCTCTGATCTGTCATAGGATTTCCCGAGAGAGGAAGAGGAAAAGAGAAGGAAAGAATGAGGCTGGGAAAGAATCTTCTAGAATGTTAGGTCCTAGCCTTTTATCCCATGTTCCCTATCACTATTTCTCTTATCTTTCCTGTTTCAATGCCTAATTCAAATGGTTGGCAACACAACAGGAAAATCAGAAATATTTTTAACACCAACTTCTTCTGTTAACGCGCTGATCACAGATAGCTGGGGCACAGGGCCAATTCCTTTCACACAGACTAGACATTGTTTATGAATACATACTGCCATCCCTCATCATAACTGGACACTGCAAAAATATGATTTTGGTCAAGAGACAAAGTACACAGCGTGCGAAATACCATAAATATCCAAATATAAAGCTAAGTTCCATCTTCCTCACCAATACTATCCTTCAGAACACAGGGGAATGCCTTTTTTCGTCTTCCATATTGTAGAGTACTCTACCAATTACAGAATTTTAGACAACAAAATACTATTTGGGAAATCCACAACAGGGAGTTAGTTATGAGGATTAGTTCAGATATTTGTGAAAATATTCTGAAGACATTAAAGTACCATATTTAAGGAATGATTACAATATATATTATTTTATGATTTTGGCAGGAGAAAGTCATACAATAGAAAGAAAAGATAAATACTATATAATGAAGATATTAAGCCAAGAACTAAGAAAATGCTTTAGAAAAAAACAACTTGTTACTGAGACACTATTTACATTTTACTTACATAAGAGATGTCCATGCATATAACAGGCAGTTTGTGTCCATACAGTGAGAGAAAAAACTAAATATGAAATAAAGAATAGAAATAATTCACGTGTGTCTATAAAATACAAGTATCACTTATTACATGTGGATCTAAACTACAAGTCTAAACTACAATGCTACAGGGCCGCCAAGTGGCTTAGTTGGTTAAGAGCTCACTCAAGAGTGCGAGCTCTGAGCAACAGGGCCACTGGTTCAATTCCCGGCCCGAGCTGAGCTGCCACTGAGCTGCCAACAGGTGGCAGGATGGCTCAGGTAAAAAACAAAAACAAAAAACAAAATACAATGCTATACCCTCTTCTGGATTGTTCTATGTCTTTATCTTCAAAGACGATAATGAGACCATTGGAGGCGGCATGTACGTGTCCGTCTGGCGTACACACCCGGTGTGCCCTCACCAGAAATGGCAACACAGTGGGGCGGGGAAGCCTCCTGCCTCAGTCAGAACATGGTGAGATGTTTGTTGGGTCTCTCAGCTGAAAAGACCCTGGGGTACCGGTTCCCCACTCTTCCCAGGTCCAGTCTAGTCCTGGCAACTTTCTGTGCATTGGGCCCCGTAATCTGTATTTTAAGAACAACCCAAATGATCCTGAGATACAGCCAAGAGTGGAATCCCTGCCCAGGACACCTAGTGACGGTCCTAAAACTACTGGCTCCAACAGGATTTTCTGAGCATACGAAATATAACCTGCTTTAAGCAAAATTTAGGAACCAAAGGATTCTCTGAAACTCTAGCTTTCCTAGTGCAGCTCTAATGTTTTGATTCACTTACAAACTGAGAAATATACTGCTGGGCACATCACTTCATAGTCTCAACCCAAGGCCAGTGTGACAAAAGAAAACGGCCCCAGGAGTGACCACTATACCTTCAAAGTGTCAACGTAGAAAATTTTCACAGTACAGTCCAGCAGAGACACGGCCAGCAGCTTTTTGTTGGGAGAGTAACTGACACACAGCACATCTTCATCGAGTTGCAAGGTTCGGGTTTGCGTCACAGAAAGTCTAGCATCACAGAAAGAAGCATCAAGAAACAAAAAAAAAGAAAAACGAGTCCCCCACAAAGGCGACAGAATCCCCCAAACTCTGTAGCTCCACAGAAACCCACAAATCAAAAGTCCATTTAGTGGTTCCTCATTTTCAGTCCACAAAATGGACACAAATCAAAAATGTCTGCTCACCTCTTCTGGGTACTATTTTCATCTTTCACCAACTCAAAATCCCAGAACTTGACGGATTTATCTGCACCGCCTGTCACAAAGCCACGCTGAAAAGCAAATGACATTCAGTTAAAAAATATTTTAGTACAGAAACTCTGATAAGAAGACACATCAGAATAGTATAAAAGCATTTTTATTTAATGACATGGAATAAGAATTCAGAAAAATGCGGTTTCTCTCTAACCCTTTTCATGCTCCTCGGGGCTGCTGCCACAGACCTTATTTGAGAATTCCTAGCTGACACTAATGCAGATGGATGACAACTAGTGTCAAGTTCTAGTTATTCTTTCGTTCAGCATCAGGAAGAAAGACTCAAACATTCTGGGGTTTTTTGCTGCACCTAAGAAGGCAACAGTCAAAAGAACTTGCTATTAAGTTGTAAAATAGTTTCACAAATATACAGACTGGACCATCTAAATAAGTTTGTTCAAAGTGTCTACCTCAGAAAAGTAGAAATGTATTCCTGCAACGTGTCTGCTTGAAATATGTTTGAAATTGTTTTCCAATATCAAGAAAATTAGTTTCATCACAGTGTAGTGTTAGTGGGAAGCCAACAGAACAGTCAGAAACTAGGTCTCAAGCTCTGTGCTGCCATTTCAGAGGCAGAATAACGTAGGAAACAACCTTACAATGATTCTTAGTGTTGCTGAAGTAACAAACACTACCCAGTTTACAAAATCAATGTAAAAATAACAACAAATGACACACTCATGGATGTTGTTAGTACTTTGGAAATGATCACTCCACAAATGGAAGATGTCATTACTATTTGAATTTTAAATGCTGTTCTGTTCTGAACCCAATGGCATTACCCACTCTAAATTCCAGATTCTGGTTTTTCCAAAAAAAATGTCTACTTCCAATGGATGAAGACTAGACTAGATGGAGACTAGACTTTGGGTGGTGAGCACATAATATAATATACAAATAATGTGTTATAGTATTATACACTTGAAACCTATATAATGTGATTAACCAGTGTTGACCACCAATCAATTTAACTTAAAAAGAAAGAAGAAATGAGAAATGCAGCCTGAGTCCTAAAGCCCAGCTTTTCACATGTGGCTTAGTTACCTGATCTGGAGACATAGACATGGACCACAAAGCCCCATCATGTGCGTGGATTGTCTCCAGCAGATTTCCTGAGGCCAAGTCAAAAAGCTGCAGCTTCCCTGTCTGTGGGAGACACAAACGAGCACAGGTCTAACGAACACACCGACAGCCTCCATGACGCATGCGTACACCTGTCAGCGCCGATGTCTGAACCACACAGCAACGACATGGCCAAGGCCTGGGACGTGGCTCCCACGTTCCATGCTCGGTACTGCTACCAGAACAAATGCTGTTAAGCCCCCTGCTGACGTGCTGAGTTAACCATGGCAGGGTTCCCATGCTGGACGGCTACGGACTAGTACGACCCTGGAGTTCAGGAGTCTTGCCACTTTCACTGGTTCCCCAACCTCAAGAGGGAACTCTCATGCCCACAGGCAAATCAGAATAAACGTAACAGTCAATGGGAAACCTGAACACCTTTAAAGGTTAATGGATCCTTTCAGTGGACTATCTTCTATGGTAACTGGCTTAACCAGCTCTTCTCCATCTAGTTTTGGTTTCCTCCTCTACAATACGCTGACAGAAATAACAATTTATAATGCTAGGGAGGGAATGAACCTCAAAAAAAAAGAAAAGAAAAAAAACCCACAAACACAGTAGCTTAGAAACAGTCGGCCTGGCTTCTGTTTAGAAGTCTGTGTGTGTCGTGGCCACAGTGCAGTGTAGCACACACAGTGGCAAAGCCTGCTCTTCGCACGTAGTGGAAAGCGTGCAAGGTGGAAGCCCTGAATCCCAGAGCTGCCTCTTTCCAACTCAAGGACTGGTGGGAATTCATCTTTATTAGCCTGTTTTTTTACTTGTAAAGTGGACTTTGTATCACAACCTCTCTAAGCTGCTGTGGGGATTCAATGAGATGGTGGGCATGAACTGCCTAGCGCACAGGCTCGGCGCTGCAGTCCAGTCACAAGGAAGTCCTCGGAGCAATTTGCAAAATGCTTTCCCAACAGTTCATAATGGATGTTTGTTGGAAGAATTAATGAAAAATGAGGGAAATTGTTCATTGAAATGTAATGCTCTTTTCTTGACATTGACCCTAAGATCTCTCCAGCTTATTTGACACTTTGTTCTGGGCAACAAAAAAAAATATCCATTGTGATACCTACGTTTTCTAATAAAGCAGTCATGTACAGGGGGCATTGGTTTAGGGGGGTAACAATCATACATACTTGCAAAGCACTTCTCAAAACACTCTATCAGCACTTCCATTCATCACTGCTACTTAAGCTGCCAGCTCTTACTTATTAGTAATTTGCTGTAAGCCAGTCTCTGTGCTAAGTGCTCTGATACTGTGAGGTAGGTTTTTTCCATCATTTTACAAGAAAAACCAAGGCTTTCTGAGTTAAGTAACTTGCCCAGAGGTCTCACAACTAGAGTAGACGAGCTGGGATTCAAACCTAGGCCCACCATCTTGTGTGAAAGCTGCTGTCATAAAGCAGGTGCCACCATCCCATCACACAGATAAGGAAAAACACTAAGGCAGTGATGTGACTTGCTCCAAATTACCCGTTTTGTAAGGGGGACAAAGTGAATCCAAGTCCATGTCTGCTTATTCCCGTCTGCTTATCTCCCCATCTGAGCAGCAGCTGGGAATGAGGACTCAGTTAGTTTCTCTGTTGAATGCTTCTACCTGCCAAGCACGATGCTAGGTATTTAGTGTACTTTATCATCAATCTTCTCAAAACACCATTACGTATGTGCTCAAAAATGATGCACTAAAGGCTGGATTGCCAAAATGTTAATGACAGTTATCTTGCGGTCATGACTTTCATCCTCTTCCTCATAATTTGACATGAGGTTTGATTTTTTAAAAAGATGAATAAAGAAAACAAAACTTAAAAAGGCAATAAACAAATACCCTTTCATATTATCCAGCTTTAATACATTTTTAGGATGCTAAGAAAGAACCCAGATTTCTCAAACAACTTTAAGAATACTGAATAGAAAAGACCCCAAAATCCAAGAAAACGTCTCGGTTTACCTTTGTCCCTATGACCACCTGCCTGTCACCAGGTACAAAGAACGAGCAAAGCGCATATTCACAGGTCATCGTGCGAATACACTGCAGTGTGGACCTGTGGGGATGAACAAACAAGTCACAAGAGAGCCTGCTTCTCCATCGTAGAGGACAGCGTGTGTGCTCAACACACAGTTAGCCACACAGTGACCAACACCACAGAGGACGCAGTCTAAACAACCCTCGGCTCAGACCCGGTGATAATCAAGGGAGAAAATACGAAATGGCGCCTCACTCTGTTTTCTTTGTAGGAGCGTCCCAATCCTAAGGAACGGAGATTTTACGGAAGCAGGGCTGAGAACAGCACGTGCTGGGCTCGAGAGAACCCATCTGCCGCTACAAGGCAGTGAGTGAGTCCACAGGATTCCCGGTCGAATTAACTTCGTTTTCTGGGACCACAGTCATCCACTGAACCAATATAAATCAAATGTGCACTTCACTCCACATTTACTGAATGCCATTCCTAACATTCTTTAGGAATGAGACAGATCGATGTTGGTACATCAGGCGATGGCAGAGGGGGTGAGGGTGAGGTGGGCGGAGGACAGCAGGGCTGTCATGTGCTGAGGAGACAGGAAAAAGCCTGCAGGGGAGTGGCTCCAGGCAGAAAGAGCAGGGAGCACAAAAGCCATGACCCAGGCACATCCTTGCCATGTGTGGGGGTGACAGAAAGGCCAGTGTGGCTCCCGTGGGGCAGAGGGGACAGCAGAGAGATTGAGGTCTGGAAGGACTTTGGTTTTCAGTTATAGCGAGATGGAGATATTGGAAGTGGTATAACTTCCACTATAAAATGATTCCAGTGGCTGCTGTGTTGAGAACAGACGACTGAGGGGCAAAGGACACAGGGAGACCCGTCAGGAAGCTCCTGGAACAATCCAGATGCGATGGCGGTGGTGGTTTAAATAGGGTGGTGGCAATGCCGGCGATGAAATGTGGTGGGATTCCGGATTCGTTGTGATGGTAAAGCTGACAGGATTTGCTCATGATTTGGGACATGGGACACGCAAGAGAATCAAGGATGGCGACAGGATTTGGGCTAGAACCACCAGAAGGAAGGAACTACTTACTGAGATGGGAAGTCTGTAGGAAGAGCAAGTGGGGAGATCGTTACAGAAATGAGAAGCACAGGTGCGGCCTGGGGCATATAAACTCTGAGATGCCTAATTAGATAGCCAGGTGGTGATAAAAACAAAGGATGGGGACAAGTGAGCCTGATGTCAGGGAAAGGCTAAGGACAGATGTAAATGTTTGCACCATTAGCACAGAGAAAGCCCCGTGTAGGCATCGCAGTGAGTGCAGAGAGAGAAAAGGTGCAGCCTCCCTCCGAAGCACTCCAACATTTAGAGGCCAAAACGGTAAGAAGGAGCCAGAAGAAGACTGGGCAAAATTCGCCAGAAGAGGAAATAATGCAAATCAAAGAAAGCGTTTCCAAGAGAAGTATCCATTTAAGGAGAGTGTGTCAAATGAAGCTTGTCACTGGACTTAGAGACATGAAGACGAGTGACAAGATGACAAGAGGGGTTTGGTGAAACGGTCAGATAAAAGCTGGAGGGGCGACAGAGTGGAGGGAAGAAATGAGACGACAGGGTTAACTGGACAGAGCTGTGAGGACGAGACTGGGTTATCACCAGGATTTCTGTTAAGATGGGAGACATTATAGCATATCTGACACTGATGGGAACGACCCAACAGAAAGGACCAACTGACGATGCAGGAGGAGGAAACGGGAAGAAGAGGAGAGACGATGTATTTCAAACTGTGATGAATGGGTCAGGGGCCCCAGTGCAGCCATATGAGGAAAGACAGGTTACCCGGGGACAGACGCGGCTAAGACGGCAGGTCTAACGGAAGCACACAAACGTTCTCTAGATGATTCGATTTCTTCAGTGAACTAGGGAGCAAGCTCATCAGCTTAAAGGGACTAGAGGTGTTTGAGGTTTGAGAAGATAAAAGTGTGAAACAGTAATCTAGGAAAGGAAAGAATGAGGAATTATGATAAAATTACTGGACAGCGCCAGGAGCCTACTGGAATTTAAAGAGTAGGCAGGATGTTTGTGTGTTTTTCCCCAGCCACGTACAGCCACTCGCTTCAGACATGGCATCAGCTTTTATTTAGTTAGTTTTGCACCTAATTTAAAAAACGCAAGTTTCCCCCATTCCAAACTCCACAGGCCTGTGGTCAAAATGTACTGAAGATACATTTAGAGGGAACTGTGCGTAAGGCCTTCAGAAACTAGTCACTAACCAACAAGAGTATTAAAAACTAATTCAATGGGAAGAAACTACTACTGGGTAAAGCTACGGAAAGTACCGTCTCACAAACCTGTTCCAAATCTTAACGGAATCGGCTGCTGCTGAAAGCACAGCAATATTGTCCGAGCTGAAGGCCAAAGTCCGCACATCGCTGCGATGACCCCCCAGGGTAACCCTGCTGGTCCTGACTGGCTGGGGGGCAGGCGCCGACGGACTCAGTGAATACAACTCCACCATGTTGTTTTGAAGCAGGAACACAGCCTTTAACTCCCCTTGAGGTGAATGGATCAGGTCAAAGGATCTGCATGAGAAAACACTCATCAAGGTTCCAGCTACCATCTTATCTCCCAAGGTTAAGACCGTCTAGCAGAGAGACCTCAACCTATAGGATGTGTGAACAAGTATAAAAAATTTTATATGCAGAGAGCGCTCTGAGTATTGGACGGCAGCTGAGTGTCAGCTTTTAAGTCAAAGAGACCCAGGCTTAGATACTGTATCTGACATAGATCTTGGTTTTTTGTTTGTTCGTTTTTCCTGTTACTGCTACTCTGCCATCTTGGACCTAAATCTGTCTATCTTGGGTTTTTTGTGGCGTTTTTTGTTTTTGTTTTTTTTTTTTGTATTTTTTATGTGACCTTAAATCCTTCCGGAATGTGGGGTATACATTTTTTCTTTTTAATTCATAGCAGGAAAGGATTGTAAACAAGTTGATGAAAGGTTATTATAATACAACAAATATGAGATGAGTAAGTAGGGCCCCGGGGGTGCCAGTCACTCTCCAATGACACAATTTGTATAGATTGCTACAAATAGTGTGACAAAGCCAATACACTTTGCAGCCTACTATTTCTATAACACTTCAGATACTTCACATACTACACTTTTACTCACTTGATTTTGGCAGAGGTTTTGATATTAGTCACCCGTTGGATTTCATCTTGCAGCGTCATTTCAACATTGACTTCGAGGTCTTCCTCCTCCCCTTTGGAAGAATTTAATCTGGAGGAAAAAAATGGCTATCATGCTATCACTTTTCCACAAGAAGCTCGGCTATTACTTCAGTCAAGTTCTGGCTCTGAGACCAACAACCTGTGTCATCTAGGGAGTCAGCCACACAGGGTTACCATGAGAATTATACAATGGAGTGTATGTAGAAATGTTTTGTGAACTAGTGTCACAAAGCATTATTCCATTTAATGGGTACCCTCAGTAAATGGATTCTGAATGCAAAAGCCCATAAAATTTCCTGGGACAAAGTCTTTGAAATTCAAACTATTCCACTGAAATGTTCTTGGTAAATTTTTCTAACTTCAGGACTTTTTAAGAAAAATCCATTAACCTGCACTTATCCACCCAACCATGTCCAATAAACCAGAGGTCTCAAAAGAGATGCCAATTCAGACGGCTTTTTAATTCTTTGAGACTTGATAAATTTCAACCATTGAGGAACCAACTTCTATTATAATGACCTATTTCAAGGTTATATTGTCTCCAAACATCAATTATATAACTGTCCAACCAGTCTTTCTTCTCCCAGTCCCAAAGGTGAGCATTATGCAACCCAACTTCCTTCTGTCTAGGCTGCTGTCATTGGAGACACACTGCTAGCCTCTGAGATTTAAATGCTTTTTTTCAAAAATCTGTACAGTCTTTCTAGTTCTGTGTGGCTCTAAGTTCAAGACGCAGGAATGTGCAAGTTACGAAGCTGTACAAAAGAGAAGAAATTTAAAACTAAGACTACTGGCATGGTATAAAATCTCTGGCTTTCACAGGAATTGGTAATGGAGTAAATATTTCCTTAAAGAAGCCGTAGGTTCTCTATGAGTACCACGTGGCCCACCCAGGGTACTTTATTAGTGGTAAATACTAAGAAAACACACTTTGCTTTCTTCCTGGCTTTCTTCATCTTCTTATCCATTTTCTTCTGAATTTCCTCTTTGGAGAGAATACAAAACACCTCCAGCACAGAATCAGTCCCCTACAAAGACAAAAGGTTGATGTGAGTTCAGGATGGGCAACTTGTAAGTTAGCCGTTTCGCAGTGAGGACTAAACCCTAACATTTCTTTTTCTTCTCTCGTTAGTTGTATTACTTTGGATGACTTAACCTCTCTGGGTTTACTGTCTCATCTGGGAAGTGGAGAGACCACGTATTACTCACAGCATTGCTTCGAAGGCTAAATTAGAGTTAATGCTTTCCAATTGCTTAGAAAGGAAGCATTTAATAAATGGTTCTACTAAGAGGAAGAACAATTATTGTTGCTATCCTAATGAGAGCTAGGGATTATGGATCCACACAGTACCAGAGAATGAATTCGTAACATGACAAAGAAAAGTTGATCTGCATGCTGAGTAGGACAGAGCAAGTCTCTGGGAGGCACAGCCTCGCCCTTGTCATTTCCTCCTGGCTGGACTCACATGGCACGCAAGCATCCTGCCTGTCCTGTCGACGGTGAGATTCACAACTCTGTCCCTTCCTTCCCGCATTATGGAGCCAGCTTTTCTGCATGTGAGGATGCGCTACAGAAGAGGCAGGAGAGAAGGTGAAGGTGAAATGGAAGTTCCACGGAACCTCTGAAACGGTATGATTCCAATAAATGCAGAGGACAGAGATGTTCCCTAAAGTGATGATGAGAATTGCAAACTGAGCTGCAATTCTCATTTTCCCCACCACTCAACTCAGTTAAAGATAAAAAACAATATTAATCACATCCTTGGGAGCCTCGTCCATCTCGAGGGGGCCCTCCTTGGCTTCATGCGTGTCCTGTATTCCAGGGGAAGTGCCTTTCATTTTCTTGGTCTCTGGTTCCTCTACGTCTTCAATCTGTGTTTGTAAAATATTGGAAAAGTAAAAGCTGAAATAACGTGTTCCAGGCGGTGACTCTTAACCCCAATGTCTTAGCAACCTGTCCTTAGAGCCACTAATAAACTTCCGTTTAGTGACCTCTCTGATAAAACCTCTTCAGTGGTAGGACATTTATGAGAATATATTAAAAACGGGCTACATCAAACGCAAACAATACATTGTTCACTATATCACTTTAGTATATCACTTGTTTAGTAACAAGATGACAAAAAAATGATGGACTCTTCATTAACTGTAAAACCGTATTGTAAAGGCAAAGATTCAAATTGGCATGAAGAACTGCAAAGGCATTGCAAGAGGTTACGTTTTCTCCTTAAATAAAGGAAAGATAATCCCTAGCCTACTAATGCAGACCCCCTCGAACTGGCTACTGGGCACACCACCAAAACCCAGCTAAATCTGAGGTCCATAACCTTCTGTCCTCACAAAAGGAGGAAAAAGGGAATCTGAGAAAGTTAATAATCTTCTCAGAATACACATATTTATAAACACACAAAGTTTACATAGATTTTTCTTTGAGGGGAAAGGGCCACAGATATTCTGAAGTCCACCCATGGACACCCAAAGGTCCAAGAGTATCAGGCGAAGAGTCCCACAGGCTAGAACATCAGCGTTAGCAGAAGCCGTAAGCCTAAAGTCATCCTACTTCCAAGCTCAAATCAAGGAGGGCAACAGAGCATCCAATGGGGAAAAAAAATGTGTTTAGAGGTAGCAGGTTACCAATGCGATCGAATTCCTTCTAGTTCTGTGTGATCACATGGGATGATAAATTCAATCCGCCTACAAAACTGATAAAACACGACAGGTAGCCGGGCACATGATCAGAACACAGTAATTACCTCCTGCAGGTAGGCTATGTCCCAAGCCCTCAGTTCACTGTCTGAAGCCCCAGTGATGAGTCGCTTTTCTTCTGACACCAGAACCAGCCCCCACACCTACAGGGCATAAGAAGATTCAAACAACAGGATTTTTTAGAGACTGTGGGATGTATGACATGACGTTCCAGTATGCCTTAGTGAAATCTCTTTGGCATTTGCAAAGTCTGATATGAAGGCAACCCTTTCGACACACACTTAAGAGAAGTCCCACTTTCAGAAAGAAAAAATGGCTGTGGTAGAACTGTTGTTTATGCGATATCTAGAAGTTTCTCTGCAATTTCCTATCCTTACATTTAGAGAATGGCTGTTCAGAATCCACTCAAATGATAGCTTTAAGTCTGACACTTCTTTGCCTCACAAATAAAAGGAGCTCCATTCATGTCTACTGCCTAACTTTCGGCCTCCTATATCCAAGAACTAAACAATAAAAATGGCACTGTTGTAAACCCATAGTCAAAGAATCTAATTTGTTTTTCCCCCTCATTAACTGCAGGTATGTGCTTCGGAAAGCCCGGTATGAACGAAGCACAGAGGGTGCAAGGTTGCACGACATCCCCTGGTCTCTACTGAACAGATCTACACCCAGGTCACTATTACAATGGCTAGAGTGTGCCGTTTCCATGTCACCGGCCAGGCACTGTAAACGCTCTATCATTAAACCTCCCTCCAATCTTCAAGGTAGACACTTAGGATTTTAAAGTGATGAAGCTCATATTCACGGATTAAAAACTTATTCGAGGCCCATTTTAACGAAATGCCAGAGCTGCTCTATCTGCTCTGATGGCGGCCACCTCTGCCAACACACCAGCCTCTCTGTTACCTAAGGCACGATGAGATGACTATCGCAGGCAGTAAAAGCAAAGAGCCACGAAAGGGCCGGGGAGAAAACCTTTGCGCTTTGCCCTCGCTCTTTCCCTGGGCCCACGAGTCCACATGTACCTCTGTCCTGTGGCCAACCACTGTTTTGAAGCAGTGCTGCGTATCAAGGTCCCACCATTTTACCATGGTGTCTTTCCCACTGAAAGAAGAAAGAGGGAAAAAAATCATTAGGAAGAATCGCTAAACAGGGCGATAAGGTCTCATTTGGTACCTTAAAAAGATAACACACAGCAATAATGTCGCACACTACTATTCTACCTGACCTTTCTATTAGAAAGCAAAGGTTCTGAACTCTCCCTGTGGTTCTTCTCAGGTAGAAAAATAAAATGCTTCACCTGTAAGCATCAAAATAACTGAATTCAGAGTGAGAAAGAACTCAGAACTTGACCTGTGGCCCATCATTTCCATCATCACAGCACCAGCATTCTCTCACGCTAACACAGAAACTTCTCACCTCTCCTGCTCTGTCGCCCACGTCCCTTTAGTCCGTACACCCTCCGCGAAGCCTTGTCCTTCCATCTCTGTACACAAGGCTGAATTTAAGTCCTACGGCCTGTATTATTTTAACAGCTGTTCATCTGGTCTCTTCGTCTACTCCTGTTCCCTCATCATGTCCAATACACTACTGTCAGGTTATCTCAGTTTTCTGAGTTCACACGAGCTCAAGGTTCTCCACAGAACCAAAGTCGGGCTCTTCAGCACCATTCTCAAAACGTCCCACTAACTGGCTGAGTCTCCTGCACGTGGGCTCTGCTGTCTGTCAGTGCCCCTCCCCTGATCCTTCACTTACGTAAATCTAGTGCATTACTCCTCCATGACCAAAGTGGAAGCAAACAACAAAGAATCATACCTCATGGTGTTACTTCCTTTCCTTCATATTCCCTAAACAATAATGTGTATATATCCGCATAGAACTGCAGAGTCATTCTCACAGAATCCGTGTCATCCAAACCCGACACACCAACGTCCCTGCTTCCTGTCCCCAGGAACACACCCACCGCTGGCACAGCGGGTACTGTTCCCTCAGAGTTTCAGTCATGACCATTTTGATTACTGCACAGCGAACCTTAGGATCCCAGACTTTCCTGGGTGGCCATTCCTTCGGAATGATAATTATTATATTAGGTTGCACCACAGGAACTTGCTGATATATGACCTATGATTTTTGACCTACACAAATGGAAATTTCGAATGATTCAACCTAATAGGTGTTCAGGAGGCCTAACTATGGAGTACGTCTGCTCTCAAAAAGCAGGCTACATCAAACACATGGTATTCGCTTCCCCCCAGTGCTTCATACTCTGCTTTCCTGACTTCTTAGGGACCCAGAAACTGGACAACTCATTCCATAGAAGGCATGTCAGGGGTTAAGGAACATGGAAAAGCTGATATCAGGGGGAAATAATGACAAATCAGAAAACAGGATATTAAAAACGCTCTAACTCTGGATAGCTTGTATGATGCTATTTGGGAGGGGAGGAGAGAGGAAAGCTGAGAAGAAAAGAGGAAACTAGCACGTGAGCTTGAGAACAGCATGGAGAAATGAGTCAGGAATGAAGCCCATTCCTGTTAACCCCCTCCCCCCACCCCTCCCCCACGCCTCCCCCAGATGAGTTTGCCTAGCAAAGGACTGGAAACAAAACTGTTCCTGCTTTACCTACTAACTAGCAGATTCTTTTCTCGCAGAAACAAGGCTTGTGTGATGGCATCCTTGTGTCCCTTTAGCCGGTAGAGGCCACTTTCATTGATCACGTCCCACACAATAATATCTGTGTCCTAAAGGGATCGAATAATACAGAAGAATTTTCTTTACCACGTAAGACCTAACTTGACAAACACCAGAACATAATATTTTTATTACAAAGGTGATATACGGTCCTTGTAGAAAATTTGGAAAGTGTACAGAAAAGTACAGAAGAGATACCGGTAAATGCCAGTTCATTCTGCCACCCAGATATAATCACCGTAGATACCTTGTTTTCTCATGTCTCAGTCTTTATGTATATATCCAGGTTGATATTTTTCTATTAAAAAACTTCGACCATGCTACTCATATCATTTTAAAACCCTCCGCCCTTTTCTTCATTTAATGTATTTCCATTTTTCTATGTCCTCCCAGTCTATTCTCATTTTTAATGGTCATAGAATAATCAATCCTAAGGATATACCATAATTTATTTACATTTTTTTTCTATTTTAACCATTTACGTAGCTTCCAATTTTCTGCTACTATACTTATGTGGAAATGAACATTCTTGAACATAAATCTTTGTATATATCTCTGATCAGAATAAACACTAAAAAGGAAATTTCTGGGATTAAAAGATATTTCTATTTTTAAAGTTTGGAATCCACACCATCAAGGTGATGTCCAGAAAGACTGCACCAATCTATAGGTCCAGCAGGGACATGGATGACAAGGCCAGTTTGCTCATCGCTCAGCTCGGGCTATTATCAGTTTCTCAGAAACCACTGCCAATTTCACAAGTTCAAAATGCTGTCTCAATATTTATTTGATTTGCATTTCTGAATGTCAGTCAGAAGTTCTGTCCATGCTCTATGTGATTACTGGCCATCTATACCTCTTCTGAACTGCCATGTTATGTCTTTCATCTACCTTTGGGTTGTCTACTTGATTGTAAGTTATTTAAAAGATGAATGATATTAATCCTTCTTTTTGATATTGAAAAGATTAAATATTTTCCCTTTTTATTGTCCTTTAACTTTTTTTTCCCGATTTTATTGAAAAATAATTGACATACATGACTGTGTAAGTTTCAAGCATACAGCATGATGGCTTGATGTACATACATTGTGAAATGATTTCCATCGTCTCATATAGATACAATAAAAAGGAAAGAAGAAAAAAATGGAAAAAAATATTTTCTTCTTGTGATGAGAACTCTAAGGATATACTTATTCTCTTAACAACTTTCCTATATATTTTGTTCATGGACAAATGTTTTAAATTTAAGTAGTCAAATCTGTCTACCTTTTTTTCCTTTACAGTTTCTTTCTTTGCTGATATATCAGCTTTAAGTCCTTTCCCACCTTGATATCAGGTAAATTTTTATTTACCCGTATTTCCCCATGTATAAGACACACCCTTTTTCGAAAAATTTGGGGTCTAAAAACTGGGTGCGTCTTATACAGTGGTTGTAGATTTTTTTACAGTGATGAGGAATTGTATGAATTTTATGATGAATAAAACTTGAGTTCAATAACTTTATGTAATACTTTTTTTTTTTCAAATTTTGGGCCCCAAATTAAGGTGCGTCTTATACATGGGGAAATATGGTACATATCATCTTGTTTACTTAAAATATCACTCTTTAATTTTTAAGTCTAATCTGTGGCTCATTTTAGTATATGGCATGAGGTAAAACTTTAACTTAATTGAAAACTTCCTCCCACATAGTCAGCTAATTATCTAAGTACCATTTTATAAGCAATCCATCATTTTCCTACTCATTGGAAAAATCATCTCTAAAATACACTGATTAAGCAAATAGAAGTGGGTTTTTTTCTGGGACTCTCACTAATGCGTTGCAATAATCTATCTGACTATTTTGTATTGATACCGATGAATAGAACAGGTCTTAAATTATGACTTCATAATGCATTTTAATCTGAAACTTCTTAAAAAATTCTAACTCTGAAAACACATTATTATTATTCTTTATTCTTCTTCTTTCCCAAAATTCTGGTGTTTTTTATTCATTTGTTTTTTCATACATGCTTTTAAATCACTTGATCGTGATCTAAAACAAATAAAATAATAAAACCTTTGGGATATTTATTTAAATTGCTTTTACTATATAAATTAATTAGAAAACTCTAGCAACGTTTCAATACTTTGTCTTCCCATTCAAGAACATGGTTTGTGTCTTTATTCAAGTCATCTGTTAACATTCTTCAGTAAAGTTTTATGGTATTTTTCTATCTATTACTTAACATACTCTTGTGAATGGAATCTTTTACAGTATATTTTCTGATGACTTTGAGATTCAGGAAAGCTGCCAATTTTACCAAACTCAATGGCAAAGCATTATCACTTTGTCTCTCCTTTTCCAATCGGTTTTTTCCCCTTGTGTATTGTTTTGGGTAGCGTTTCCACAGTGATGCTATGTAACAGTCACCATGGGCATCCTCATGGTGTTCCTACATCTGACAGGCTTTCATCAGAGAATATGACAGGAGACAAAATGAGCATCCCAGTTCAGACGCATCCTTCTCCCTCTATTTCTACCATCTGTACAGTTTTGTACCCCAACTGCCCACTGTTGCACCCAACAATTTTTGTGACCATCCTGCTTACACACTGGCCTTATGCTCCTTTCCTAGATCAAAAAGTTTGGGGACCAGATTGAAGGCCTTACCTTGGACCCAGATGCCAGCCTGCCTCCTAGCTGATCGTACTTCAAGGAAGTGATCGCTGCTTTGTGTCCGTTGAAGGTCACATTTCCTTCCCCGCTCAGGAGACTGAAGATTCGGATCGACCCATCCTCATAACCAACAGCTAAGTGCAGCCCATCTGGGGAGGGGCACAAGCAAGTGACTTCTTGTTTAAGCCCCTTAAGGATGAGGATCTGAAATCATAAGAATGTAAAACAATGTAGAGGAGTGAGCTTGTCATCCAGGGAAAAATGTGGGAATAATTGCACAGAAAAATTAAGAACATCAATAATTCCAGATCACTCTTATGAATAAAAATGAAATTCTGCAATCCACCTCAAGTTCTTTAACATGGTTAAAGAGTTATTATTTGTACTTGGCAATGAAACATTAAAGGTAAAATTATTTTTTCCAAAAGCTCTACAGTAGCATAATACATGCAAAACTTTCCCAGGCTCTGGAATAGATACTAAGTCCTAGTAAGTATCCTATGGCAACACCAAATGATTTTCCATTAAGGGTTATAAACACATCCGTGCTTTAACTGAGCCCTGTCTTAGAAGCAACCAACCCCCATGGCACCAGAGCGCTGTCATGGTTTATTCCCGACTCTGTGTGGCAACAAGGATCAAAGTATTAACCTCTGGGAAGTCACATAGTGAGTGGACAAGATCAAAATGCCTGTATTTGGTGTGGCGATAGTGGTAGGCTTAGGGAATCTAGAGTTACACAAAGTATCAAAGCCGAGTTTAACAACCCTGGGGCTTCATCTGTATAAAGAAAAGATTCAGTCAACATAGCATACTACTAGTAAACATAGAGTACTATGCATTTTTAAATGCCTCGTATTTTTTACCTGGTTGTGAGGGCAAGCAGAACTTGAAATATAGGGAATAACATAATGATTACAAATAATTATAAGTATCACTACAAATAGGTACCTAACAGGTAAGCTCCTATTTGGTTGTGGTTTTCAGAATTTAGTGTGGAAGAACACAACAGAACCTGATATGTGGCTATCTAGCCCCAAAGGAAAAAGATGTCTCTTCTGGGACCACACACTTAGAAGATCTGCGCATGATATATGAGAGCTCTCCCACCTCTGCGTCTCCATCCTCAAACACCCACAAATCAACATCAACCCGGTTGATATGTGGCTTACCTTCTCTCCTTTTCTTAAGTCCCAGATGAAAACATGTTCACAAGCTGGTACTGCCACATAGCGTCCTTTTTCACCACGAAGTGTCACAAAGACAATATTACCCTTTTGGCTGCCGATAAGGCCGAAGACTGCGCTGGCAACGTAGCGTAGGTACTGCTTGGTGAGCCCCATGTTATAACGCCCGGAACCACGAGAGAGAGCTGTGCGTGCAAAGAAAGAAAACTCAGATCTTCGGGTACTTTGGCTCTGCTAGGCCAGCAAACACCAACTGTTTACCATATAGTTAAAAGTGTACAGCTTGTGGCTTCTTAGCTTTTGTTTACTCTGAATAAACAATTCACACAAAATCCCAGGACATCTTCATTTTTAATTCACCAGTTGCAAATTGGTCGTATTGTCATTCCCCTCACAAATATCTGACCTATGGCTTCTGTGTACCAAACGATTAGCTTCTGCCCATTCAACCACTGTCTAAGTTTTGACACTGGGATTGACAGCCTGAGACTGAAAATATGTATCAACAAACATTTATTACAAGCCTACTCATTAGATGGGTGCTGTCCTAGAAACTAGAAATGTGGTGCTGAGTAAAACAAAACCCTTGACCTTCTAGCACAGTGGTTCTCAAACCCTAGTAAGTGTCCAGCTCATCAGAGGGCTTATGAAAGCAGAGCTCTGGGAACCGCCTCCTCCTCCCCTCCCCAAGTGCCCATTTCCCATCCAGTAGGTTTGGTCAGGGTCCAAGATTTTTCTTTTCTAGCAAGTTCCCAAGTGATGCTGCCACTACTGTGGTTCCCTGCTTTGAGATCTACTGTCCCAGGATAGGCAGGTCTGTGCTTGATTTCCAAATCAGGGCAGCCACCTCCCCTTGACACAGGTAAAAATGGTACAGCAACTTGACCCACCAATTTTAAAAGGTGCCATAGTCTCCACACTAAATCCAATTCACTGAAAACACTGCTAATGGATAAAAGACAACAGGTGAGGGAGATAAAAAGTCAAGCCTGTCTACTCTTGATATGGAAGAGTGAAAAGTATGCCTCAAAATACCCATGCAACTTACAAAACACATGGATACTAAACAGAAGTGACAGCCTTTTTTTGTAGCAGTTTTTTTGTTGTTCGTTTGTTTGGTTTAACTTTTTGGGGTCTCTTTCTGTTAAAATCGTCTGTTTTAGTCTACTTAAACAAAAATATTCAATGTCAACTCAGCTAACATTCTCTTTTAATAATCACTTACTAGCCTCTTTTTTCTTTTCATAGGAACCAACATAAAGCCAGTTTATCAAGGGAAGATGTTATTAACATAGTGATAATGCTCTTAGGCATTATCATGGGACCATTTGATCAATTCTTCCCCAATTCATCTTATTCCTCCTTAACTGTAGCTGTTCCTCATGGTCATCCTTGGCCATCTACCAACTCTTCCCACAGTATTTTCCTTGCAGACGTCATACAGCCTGCCTCGGCCCAGGGGCCACATCTCTAGTTCCAGTCCCGTCGCATACGTGAATAATTAGACATCCCATTCGAATACCTTGCAGCAGCATCTTTAACATGTCTGAAACCAAACCTATCTTGCTTCCTGAACCCCTCTTATTTTTTTCTGACTCTAAGACATACAAACCTAGGCATGTGGGCCCAAGACCTTGCAGTAACCTTGGGCTCATTAATAAAAAAATATAGCAGCCAAGACTTGAAGTGTGCTTACTACTGACGCTTCTTGACTTACTTGGGTGGGGGGAGGGAGGGACATCCCAATAAAACCATCGTAAGGTAAAAAGATTGTATATCAAAAATGCATTGAATCCACCTAAGTTACCGAGCATCACAGCTTAGCCTAGCCTACCTTAACAGCACACATTAGCCTACAGTTGGGCAAAATCAACTAACACAGTGAATACACTGCAGAATATCGGTAGTTTACCTCCAAGATTGTGTGACTGAGAGCTGTGGCTCAATGCCACTTGCCCAGCATCATGAGAGTAACTTACCGCATATGGCTAGCTCAGGAAAAGATCAAAATTCAAAATTCTGTGGGGTTTCTACAGAATGCATACCACTTTCACACCACCGTAAAGTAGAAAAATTGTAAGTCAGGACCGTCTGTCTATGGTAACTGATAGTAAATGTATATAATTGAGTAAACATGCAGTTTACATATACAATTGAGCTAAATAAATGGGTTAATATAAGTAAAGTACTTAGAAAAGAATCTAGTATATTGTGAATGTAAGCATAAAAAATTCTTCACAATAACCTTACAAGGAAGGTACTATTCTTATCCCCGTTTTACGGACCAGGAAACGAGGCACGGAGATGTGAAACAGCTAATCCAAAGACATTTAGCTAGTTTTAAGTGCCACAGCCAGTTTCCAATGCAGTCAGTCTAATTCCAAAATTTATTTTAAAGAGAAGCTAAACTGCTTCTCTTTGCCTCTGTCCTCTCTTTTGTCAGAAACTTCCACCTAACTGACGATTTCTCTGAAATAGGATCTTTTCTCTTTCCACTTTCCATTCCAGCTCCTTCTCCCTGGGTTCCAGGACTACTTTTCCGTCTAGCACCTCCGCCTGCATGTTTTTTATTCTTTTCATTTAAAGTCATAACACTACCTGACTTAATCTTTTCACATGCACTGTCCCTATTCCGAAGCCCTTGAAAGGGCTACATTGTTTGCAGTTTCCAAGAACTCATCGATCCTTCTTTATTTCTCCCATAACCTCTCTCTTGTCAGGCTAGTTGGTTTCCCTCCTGGTCCTGCCACCTTCCCGTCTTCACCTGACCTGTCACCTCGAGTAACAAGCATTCTCCTTTGGAGGCCCACTTCCTTCGGGGCTAGTCCAATTTCGCAGCCTTTCCTTTGCCTCAATACTTAAGCTATCTTCCCTACAAGCTGGCGTTGATCATTTGTGTCTCGTGGGTACAGATCTCAGCGCTTTTTGGAGACGGCTCGCGACCTAACCTTCCTCTGCGCCCCTACCTACCATCCCTGCTTCCTAACTCACAGTCCCCCACCCCCCCCAAACATGTTGCTCTTACGATGCACTGTAGGTTGGGAGGAGGCAACAGACCTATCAGACGTCTCTAAACAGTCTTCAGTCAGGCGGGAGTGAGGGGGTCCCCCACACCGACCACGCTGCCGGCGCATCCTCAGGCGACACTGTGCACGCGTGGGGTCCGGCAGGAGCGCACCGCACGCGCCAGCTCGGGGCGTATGGGGTCGGCCTCCGGATTCCGCGGTGGGGCGCCCTTACCGCCGGTTTTCCCTCCACCCTAGCGACCCCCCCCACCCAGGTGCATCCAAACCCGAGTAGCGAGGCAAAGGCGCCACCCGCGGCCGGTGCACCTACTGAACTCACCTGAGCTCCACGCGGGTCCAGGCCGCTTGGCCCCGCCCACGGGGCCCGCCCCTTCCGGGTCCGCTCCAGGACCCTCTTCCGCCCGGCGTTTCCTGGGCCTTCTAGGAGGAAATGACGCAAGAGCCGGGCTCTGATTGGCGAGCGCCGGCCGGGATCGGAAGTCCGCGTCCCGCCGCCCCGAGCTCCGGCAGCTGGTCACTCGGGCTTCTTGGGACTTTGACTCCCCTTCCCCGCCGAGCTTCTAGAAGGGGTTTCGGGGGATGCCGCCCCACCGCATTCCGCGAGGAGCTTAGCCCGCTCCGCCTGCCGCCCGGATGGGACCACCCGAGCGCTGTGAGAGGCGGGGCAGAGGCCGGGAGGGAAGGCGGAGCCAGCGGGCCGGGGGCGCGGCGGGAGGCGCACGGGACTCGGGGCGGGCACAGGGTCAGCTCTGGGGGTTCTCTGGAAGGAGGAGCCCGCCGCTTCTTCCCCAGCCGTTGTTTGGGTTTCTCTCGTCCGAGGTGCTGTCGGGGACGATTCATCGGGAAGAGAGGGTGGGCAGACCCGGGCACAGAGACACGGGTGCTGTTGTCACCGGGGAGGTGCGTGCCCTGGGGTGCAGGAGACACAGGGCGGCCGGGAGCCCTGCTGGCTGCAGCCCCCAGAGTCCAGCCTGTGTTGCCGCGGGGGTGAGCGGGGCGTTCCACGAACCCAGAGCAGCCGGGGTGAGGCTGGGTAGGCGCCGAGCCCAGGAGGCTGACTCGTCTGGATCCCCGCAGTCCCTGGAGTGACATTGGTCTGGCTTTGTGTTTCCGCTCCCTGGCCGCTGGAGGGGGAAGTGACCAGAGCTGACGCCTCCGTGCTCGGTAATTGAGGCTTAGGTGCTCTGGCACCAGGTGGGAATTAGCTTTTCCTCCCTTGGCAGTTCTGTCCGCTTTTATTCTCGGGCTGCATAGAAGTGTTCAGAAGTGAGTCCTGGAGTCCCGATGTCTGTAGCTGTGGAAATTTAAAGCGAACGTGTCAATACAAAAGAAACAAGCTCCTGCTTTTGCTTATTGAACAAGATTATCTGTAGCCAGCCTAGAAATTAGACTTTTATCTATTTATACATTATCTGATTTTCTTCAGACGTTTGTTGAGTTTTTAAGACATGCTCAGCAAATCTTCCATATTCAAGAAATATGCAGTAGTAGAGAATGGGTGTCCAGAAACAAGGTTACCATGGATTGGATGAATGAGAAGGTAAGAAATTGTGTCCAACAACTATTATTTCAGTAAGTTTGATGGGGAAGGGAACATTTAGGTAGGTGTGGATGGTTAATATCTCCTGTAGGTGTCATGCTTTATATTATTAAGG